TTGTATTATTTAGTTTATTATTTCATGGAACAATACAATATGTTTTGCCTGTATAAAGAATGTTTCTTTATTTGTTTTGGACAAGAAACAAGACAAAAAAAATTTAAGTAAGAAAAGCATTTTTTTTGCAGCGAGTTAACATTAGTAGCGTTAATCCTTGAACAGCAGTGTGAGTCACAGCCCTTGCTTTAAACTTAGCTAACAGACAAGTGCACCTTAAACTTTGAGGAGGACCACCCGGAAACGTTCCCATCTGAATAAAAGAAAAAATCTTCTCACTTAAGAGCTTCGCTAGGCCGAAGTCTCATAAGCCCTATGAAGAGAGCTGTGTGTTTAACCTTACAGCTCAACCAAGTAGCACACGAGCACAGAGTTTTTTAATGCTTCAGTGCTGGGGGTTCACTTAACCATTCTGATGAGGCATCAAAGCTAAGCCCTGAATAATAGTGAGGAAAGTTAAGAAATTAATGGCTGATTCGAATGGTGTTCTTGGTCCAGATATGCAGGTTTTGTTCAGCTGTGGGGGTAAAGGGCTATTTTTGTTGTGTACAATGCAATGGGGGATTTAAAATGCTGATGGGCTTCAATAATTGGTGGTTCCTTTGTTTTTTTTTAAATTTCAGACAATGTTGTGTATGCAGGGTTATCGACGCTCTAACAGCTGTAATCCATTCACTGCTTAAGTCCATGGCATCACCCAACTCATCAGTAGTCATGAATTGGTCATGGTGAGACCATAATATTCAAATGTTTTGTCTTCAATACTATTCAAATAATTTTGAATATGTAAAACGTCACATCGCACTTGTGAATAAACTTCAAAGTGAGCATAAATGCACATTACTCATCTTAAATATGACAATTATTTAAAGCATTAAACATTTAAATGACAAAGATTACTAATAAATACAGGGTCATGCATATTTAACTAGTTAAAACACGTGCAGTCAAATAAACCTACCCAGACTCGAACATAAAATCAATCCTAGTGAATATACAAATGAACTAACAGTATTTTATAAATAACCAACCTCAGCTGTGATTCTTGTAAGAAACACGAATAATGTTGTTTCATACTTCTCTATTTAACTCAGCTCAAGTAATCGAGTCAGCATTGCAGTCGCTGAGACAATTATGCAATCAGAAGGACTGACAGATGCCATCATTCCTCAGGAGCCAGTGACAAGAACATCTTTAACATTTGCTTCAAAGTCCCATCAGCACGATTGCACATTATGCAACCAATTTCACAGATGCATCGGCATGCTATAGACCGTTACGTGAGCACCAAGACATAAAATATTTCACTTAAATACAAAAGAGCCCGATTTCCCACAACCCACACAAGGAGCAGACTCATCCCTATGTGCGGGGTGATTTATCGCCCACTCACGCAGCAGTCAATGGGAATCCGAGAAACTGCATTCTCATGAAAACAGTTCAAAAGAACATCCATCTGCTGACCATCAATGATGAAATGATACACAAAATATTACACAGCTGATATTTCAAAAGTTGAAAGACCAGCACAAACTCCCTGCATTAAGAAGGCCTGATACACTGTTCATGTACTACTTGTGTTTTACTGCCAATGTGAAGAGCATATAATGAAACTTTCCTGACTTCCTATGGTTGTATATAAGCCTGTATACCAATAGATTTCAATAGCTATGATTCCATCCACCTATTTTGTGTGCATTTTGGATACACGCATAAAAAAAAAACAGTTGATGAAAAACCCATGATGCGCATAACCAAGTAGGATAAACATTTATTTTATAAGAAAAGATGCGCATAACCTATGACGGAGACACTTTTACCAAACAAATTCCAGAATTGGCATGAAAAAAAGTCATGCGTTTTTGTTATAAGAGATCATGTGATGATAAAATTATGTGTGAATGGATTAACCAGCAGGCTGAGCAGTTTATTAAACATTGTATATGTTTTTTTATGAGCATTTTAAAAATGTATGTGCATCTTGAATGATCGACTAAGCATTTTTATGCAATATTGCAAAATGCAAATAAAAATAGGTGAATGGAAACAAAGTTCCTGTTAAGGCAGTTGTAAACCATGATTACATAATTAAATATTCATGTAAACATCACTCTCAGCACCATGCACAGCATCTGGATGTTTGTTACAAGATTATTGTTGCAAAGTTGCTTACATTTTTACATTAATTTACAAAGCACATTAAAGAAGTTGGCTGTGAATATATTGGGGCACCGAATCACATTTACTTTCTTGTACATTACATGTACAATCGTTAGCAGCAAGGTTAAAATAGTTTTAGATTTTTAATTAGTTTTAGTTTTCATTTCATTTTAACTTTTTGTTTTCGAATTCGGTTTGTTTTAATTAGTTTTTAGAGCCAGATTTACTAGTTTTTATATTTTGAAATTGCTTAGTTTTAGTTTAGTTTTTATTAGGTGCAAGATTCAAAATAATCAGAATAAATAGTATATACTAAAAACTCAACCAAAGATAGGCTACTTTATTGACACAAGGACACTACCACTACCATTTACCCATCCTCAAATTCAAATACAACAGCCCACTAGATAGCTGCTTCTGAGGTTAGATACACAGTAGTGATGGGAAGTTCAGATCTTTAAAGTGAACCAGATCTTTTGTGACAATCTACTGCAGGGGTTCCAAACTCGGTCCTAGATGGTCGCTGTCCTGCCGAGTTTAACTCCAACTTGCTTCAACACACCTGCCAGGAAGTTTCTAGTATATTAAGTAAGAGCTTGATTAGCTGCTTCAGGTGTGTTTGATTAGGGTTGGAGCTAAACTCTCCAGGTCACTGGTCCTCCAAGACTGAGTTTGGACACCCCTGATCTACTGGTTTGGATTTAACATATCAAAAAAAATGTGGTCAGCAATCATAATTTCCACCAGTTAAAACATCACCATAATCTGAAAAGTTTCTTACAATTATGCTTTGCAACCCAACTGAAGCATGTTTCACTTATTTAAATTCCATTATGACTTTATGTTATGAAATTATAATATTGTTAAAAGTTTTGCCAGATCCTCTCATTTAAGCCCTTGGTTTACTTGCGCTGCAGTTGATCAAGTTTAGTTCAGTCACAGCAGGCTGTCATGCACAATGTGTTTGGTTCACTGAATCACACATGCGCAGTATTATCAGTTCACCAGTTCTCAAATCCGATGTCGGCGTACTGTTCTAATAACTGAATAACTCAGTATATATAGGTTTATTTCCAGTCAGACAAGATGTCAGGCAAGTTAAAAATAAGTTGTTTGTGGATAAGTGCTTAACGTTATTGGAGACGCAAATTGTTTCAAATAATTCAGCTTGATGTAGTGAAATAGCTCAACCGGTTCACTTAGAAGATCCTGTTTAACAGAACGATTTGTTCATGGTCGCATTTACTAATACAGAAACAAAACCTATTATTGAGCACAAATGTGTTAAATTAATACTTTGAAGTGTCTGCTCGGGTCGTATTTAATGCAGTAACTGTTTTTTTTTTAGTGAGAGCAACAACGAGGATGACCAGCTTGATCTAGCCAATGGCATGAGTATTACAGACTCTGAGGTGCCATACGGGTTAAACATCTGGCAGCGCAAAGTAAATAGATTTACTTCTAAAAGACTTACAGTATGTATTAAATACATTTACAAAGACAAAAACAAAAGACATTTTTGCTATAAGTTTAGTTTGTTTTGTATGTAAGCAATACAGTTTCAGTTAGTTCTAGTTTTTTTTTTTTTTAAAACTTGTTTTTATTTTTATTTCAGTCAACAAAAATGTTTTTTCAATCCTAGTGTTTATTTTTTGTTAGTTTTTTTTATAACTATACCTTGGTAAGCACCAGCAATAAGATGCAGTTAACTTAAAGGCCACAGGTGCCACAAATAACAAGTATTTTTGAATTCTACATAATAGCACTTTTTTATGCAGTAAATAAAATGTGTATAGCAATGGCCAATAGTCTTTTAAAAACAAACAAACACGTAAAAACCTGTGGATTTATTGTAAAAACATCTAATCAACTTGCAGCTTTAAAATCAATTGCTTGATCATCTGAACTATTGACCTTCATTTGGTCTTGTGTCTTCCCATGAAATCAATATACAATTTGGAAATGGTAAGATTCAAAACTTCACATAAGCTTGCATTTCCGGTCTTTAGTCTTCAAATGAATGGGAATGCATGGAATAAAAATGATGGCCCCCAATTAATGCAAACGGAGTCACGATACTCTATAAAATAAAATTAGTCCCTGACTGGATGTCTTTAACAGCCAAATTGTGAAGTAAAATGCAATTGTCGTTGAGTCGCAGCATAGCAGACTAACTCAATTTATCTTGATCAGTCTGTCAAGTGAGGTTCCCAGAAGAGAAATCTACACACTGGACCTTCACAGCCATCTGAACCCTATTAATCAATAAATGCCACTAAGGATCGTTACAACTTGGAATGTATGAACATCTGTCTAGAGTGACAACCAGTAATTCATGACTACATGAGGCTTGAGACCCCTAAAATGAGTTGAGAACACCCTGGCAAAAACCTCAGAATATCATGAAACATTTGTAACCGTACAGCTTTCCCCTGAGGGATGCAAGCATCACCCTGCATCTTAAAGCTGTCCCGTCTATACTGACTGAACCACATTAGATGGAGTATTCAATGATTCACTTACAACATATGGTTTCATGAACATCAGTGAAACATTATATTCCACAATAGGTTCTTCATGTTATTAAAATGTCCCACACTGTTAGACATTAATAACAGTTCACGGAGAGGTTCTTATATAAAATACGTCTCTCATACAGTCTCACAATGAATCCCCCAAATTTGGAACCTTTATTTGTATGAGTGCATGAAGTTAAATGAGAATACCATGGCTCTTGCAGATATGTACATGTAGCCTAAATAATTCATCCAAAACACTCAACTGCATTAAATAAAATGTCACCTTACGCCCAAAAACCTGGTATGAAACCCATCACGTACCTCCCGAGTTCTCCTCCAATCTCATAATAATCCTCCACATTCTCCTGGTTGAACACGGTCATGGTGCTCCTGGGCGCTTCCAGCTCTCCGGGATTCCCAAAATCAGCAGCCCATCTCTGTCAACCTAATGACAGTTTGCGGCGAACCCCTCTCATATTCGCTCTGCGTAGAGAGAAAGAGAGAGAGAGAGATGCGCGTGAGGAAAACGCGCGTGTCGTGCGTAAAAACGCTCAGTGTCTTCTCGACTCGTGTAAAAACCTTTTCTCCGCCCCTTACCACACTCGCCGCATGTGAAACACTGTTTGTGTACAGCTTTAACCGGTGGGTGGAAACTAGTCAACCCCGCTTGGGAGAAGGTAACAGTGGTTTTGTTAAAAGGCGTCTACGGCGTTGCCAAGTGAACAGCGCTGCTTGATGTGTGTGAAAAAACTGATCGTGACCAAAACCCTTGTGTCCACTCACCCTGGCCATAATACAGAAAAGATCGCCGAATCGCACGGAGGCGGTTGACACCTCGCGTAAAGTACCAATGCTTCATTAAAACTACGCCTTCTCTTGTGGGTTCATGTCGTTAGAGAAACCCAGCGTATTCCTTCATTGATCACACGGTCTAAACAGAGCAAAGCGTGCTCTTACCGGTTACTCGCTTTGTACTTCGACAAAAGCGAATAAAAGTAGCATACCTTTATTTATCCATCGTTGTCAGTCCCCAGGCAGCAGGTACCGGCAGGTGTGAAGCGATAAAATAGCATACCCTTCACGCGAGACATGGAAGTGTTGTGTTGCAGGAAATGGGAGGATTGTAACAATGTAGATGGTGCGGGGCTGAAGGTAATAAGAGCGCCAAGCGTCCACCTGAAGGGGCGCTGTGGAGCGCATGCATAATATCATCAGAACAGTCCATAAAATTCAATTCAATTCAATTCAATTCAATTCAATTCAAATCTATCTATCTATCTATCTATCTATCTATCTATCTATCTATCTATCTATCTATCTATCTATCTATCTATCTATCTATCTATCCATCCATCCATCCATCCATCCATCCATCCATCCATCCATCCATCCATCCATCCATCCATCCATCCATCCATCCATCCATCTATCTTGACAATCTTGTGATTTTATTTTCTCATAGGTTTTATCATGGCGAAAAAAAATGTGGACAGTTTTGAAGTAAAGTTACAATAATAATAACATTCCTGATTATAGGTCTGTTTATGTCTGTCTGTGATTTTTAAATGTATAGACTATATCTTTCTTTTCTAATTTTTTATTACAATTAAAATTTATTATTATTATTATTTATTAACTATGTCTTCACTGTTTGTTCTTTCTGTACTCGAATCTCACAAGACAAATTCAATCCAATCAATCAATCAATCAATCAATCAATCAATCAATCAATCAATCAATCAATCAATCAATCAATCAAATCCTGTCCGACTGTCATTTTTTAATCAACAGTGTAAATTTTAAAGAGATGGTTTACCCAAAAACTGAAAATTCTGTCCACTGTCCTTATAACAAGCTACATGGAATTTGTTTTTCCAACTATGGATGTCAGTAGTTGCATGTTTCTAACATTTTTCTTAACAACTTCTTTTGTGTACAAAAGAAAAAGAAACTCATAAAGGTGTGAAATCACTTAATGGTGAGTAAATAGTTTATACATTTAACAAAATACATACAATACATTTTCATTCAAGGGTGAACTTTTCCTTTAACATGACCCCACACTCTTAGGTAGAGAATGGCCAGTTGTAAAAATATGTTTATAGAGTAATGTATAGACTAGAGATGCCCAAACTAGGGGCCTCGGGCTAAAGCTGGCCAATGGTAACCTTTGATTTGGCCTGGCATCCCATCTGAGAAGAGAGGGAGAATGATAAGGGTTGGTTTGCTGATTTGTTGCATTAATAAGCTATAAAAAGCTAACTGAAATTAAATGTTTCAATTCAAATGGGGTCATTTAATCAAATTTAGTTGAAAATGTACATACTGTCACCCAATGGATAGAGGACTTTGGTCATCAAATCAAGGCAAAGGCAGGTTCTGCTTGACAAGTGTATTCAGCATTGAACTTCACTGTGTTATAAAAAAGGTTGTTTATGTTTTAATTGCAATGGGTTATCAAAAAGTTATGCTGCATTAGTTAATAGGATAAAAAGTCTTGTTTTCTATTTATTTTTACATTTTATGAAATAAATTAAGAAATTACTCACGGCAACTTTAATGTAAAAAATGTTTTTTTCTTTTGCCCACAGCTGTGATATTTTGTTTTTGGCCCCTCATACAAAAATGTTTGGGCACCCTTGGTATAGACTGTATTTTATATAGCCAGTATTTTGAAATAGAATACTATTTTTAGCACTAATAAAGACTATAGTGTCTCATGAGAAGCTTTGTTTGGAAATTATCCAAATGTATAAAAACTTAACATGCAATTTTTTTTGTATTATATCTAAATTATATATTGTAAGATTTTGTACAATAAATGAGACTTTCCTTACAAATTGATTATGATACACTTACCCCATCTACTGGTAAAGAAATACATTGCAGGTGTTGGACATGCATGGATAGGTGTTTTCCATGCAACAGAGGCTTTACTGCAGAGGTGCCTAAAGTAGGACCAGTGATTTGGCCTACCACCACATCTAAAAGGAGTGAGACAGATGAAGGGGGTTTTGTCAAATGCATTTAACATAGAGATCGTCATTTCTAATTTGGCGTAAACTTTTTTTTGTGTTTTATTGCTGAGCTCCAAAAAAAAAGATTAAATGCTTCAATTAAATGTTGTAAATTAATCTGATAAAAAATTAAATACTGTCACTCAGACAGCAAATCAAGGCAACAACTAGTGTAATTCTGTTATAATTAGATTGTCTTGTTTTTACTGTAATAAGTTATTATAAAATGTTAAAAACATACTGTATTAGTAAATATAAAGCAATGTTTTCTAGTAATTTTTAAACATAATAAAAAAATAAGGAAATTATTATTATTTACCTTCGGCCTACAAGCCTAAATAATGATATTTGGCCCTTCATAAGAAAAACACTCCTGCTTTACAGTAAATGAATGAATGATTAAAGATTGATTAAATGAACGTACATGAGTGAATAATAAATAAAAAAATACAACTTTTTAACATATAAAACATTTCTGCTAACATATATTATACGTAATTATGTATATTTGTATAACAATAACACAGATATAACCAATAGGCATGGCCTGGTATAAGTTTCTAATGGTATGATAACCTTTGATAAAAATATCACAGTTTGATGGTATCACTGTGTTTACTGCTGTAAAATAAGTTTTTTCAAAGGTCAGTAAAAAACAACAACTTTTTCCCCATTTAACACAATATATTACAATTTAGGAAACATTTATAGTATGTTGGAACAGTAAACATGTCAGGCTACATAATTAAAATAACTCTTTGACTTCTACTATCTTCGTTAGCTTCAAAAACAGATATACTTATACAACACATAAAAAGCACTTAAAAAAACCTTTACATATACCTTAGAAACTGTATAACAAAACATTTTTATTTCGGTTTTAATACCTTGACTTTTCCCAAACAGCGGTAAACCTTGAAACTATTTATCGTTCCATGCTTACCAATAAACTACAAAAGAGAACAAAACACCAATGAGCTACTAACAATGCTTAAGATGTCGCTTGCACTTTTTACAGAACACTTTGAGCTCCGTTTCGTACAAAGGCGTGTTTTTTCCTGACAGTAAAACCTCACAGTGCGGTGAAATAAACATGTTTCTCAGCTCATTGTTGACAGCAGATTGTTAGTGTCAGTCTTTTATATGTTTTGACTCACGTCTGCCTTCAAGAATGTAAGTGTTGACTAGTAAGGCGGTTATTATCGTCCCAGCATTGATGACATTGGACGGAACGCCTGATTACACAATGTGTTAGACTGTCGCAGTGATAATTTGCAGTTTATTCCGTGCTGTTTATAGTCAGAATGGTGACAGACGCAATAAAAGTGTGCATAGAAGCAGCTTTGTCATAGTGAATTGAGCTTTGAAAAGTAATATGACAGGTGATTTTAATCTAACATTTGTTTTGTCGTGGTCTTGAAGAAAACTTGATAACGTTCCTGATTGCAGTTTTAATGATTGCTTGCTTGTTTTTCTTGCGCCATCTAGTTTCTAAAAGGGTCGTTGCAGCTTAATAGTTTTGACTAAACAATTAGAAGGGGAAACTTTTTAGCAGTGCAGACTCTCATGTGATACGAACATATAGCCTACTATAAAAGAGAAGATTTCCATGCTTTGGTAGCTTTGTTGGACTGATTAGACTGTCTCCGTTCTTCTCTTTTTGTTGCAAGACGGATGGTCTTTATTTTCCCTCTCTCTCTCAGACTCTACATTCATTAACCTGAAGTTACAAGTTTTCTTCCACACCAGCTGCAGTCTGCATTATTATCTCTCATGGGGTTTCCTAATGTTTACGTTAGATATGGCCTTTCAATTTGACTTTTTTGTAGTTTAAATTAACTCATTTTAAGAATGAAGACACATTTCGTTTTTAAAATTAAAATTACAGTTAGTTATTACAGTTTTAAAGGAACAACTACATCAAATAGTTTTAGGTATGTTAAAATATATACTTATACACACGTACACATATATATGAGTAATATTACACTTGTAGCAGTGCAATATAGTTGTATATTAGCACTGGTGGGTGGCGTGCGTTAGTGCGTCCCACTAGTGACAATATATAGTGATATAAACTGCATTGTTGCAATCTAAAAAACTAAATTCTTCACTCTATGTGGGGAGAGTAATACAGACGGGTGAAGAGGCTGTACGAGTGCTGTTATTACTAGAATATCGCACAACTATCAGCCAATAAGATTTGAGAACCAGACAGAACTGTTGTATAAATATATATGAGCAATTCCAGCGTTATGGATGGGATATTTGCAGTAAAATCTCAAAACATGAATTCACATAGAAAGTAAACATTAACATTATATTAAAACATCTGTTTATATTTTCCAAAACAACTCACCACAGAT